CCTGGAGTTCCTACTGACCTACTTTGGACTCGCTGAGATAATTTATCAGGTAAGATAATTAAAGGAATAGAAAGCGGTGTCTAAAATGAACCAAGTATCAGAAATATTTGCTGAACTCGTAAGTTTTTATTCCCACTGCTATCGGCCGGTGCTTTATTACTTTGCAATGAGCCAATTCCCTCTTATTTAGAAGCCGTTCTTTTCCTGTATAAACTATATTTGCACTATATATTTGAGATTCGCTTTGATATTTAAATATGTAAGTTTTGATTTTTTTCAGGATAGTGGTTAAAGAGAATAATTAACCTTTTAATGCCTTCTGTTTTTTCTTTCTTTAGCCCCTCCCATGCAGGAACACAAAGTTTCTTTCTTCAGATCAGTGAAATCAATGTTTCTACTGTTCTCGTCGTCTTTTAAAAAAATTCTTCCGCTGGGCGGTGGTGGCGCACTCCTTTAATCCCAGCACTCAGGAGGCAGAGGCAGGTGGATCTCTGTGAGTTCAAGGCCAGCCTGGTCTACAAGAGCTAGTTCCAGGGCAGGAACCAAAAAGCTACGGAGAAACCCTGTCTCGAAAAATCCCCCCCCCCAAAAATTCTTCCATATTTTTCAGTCCTTCCCCTCCCCCAGTCTTTCCTCCCCACCTCCCCTCTCACCCAGATTCGCCATCAATGTCCTCTCAGATAAGAGCAGACCTCCTTGGTACATCAACCAAACACCAGACAGAAGGAAAGGTTACAATAAGACCACCACATATTATCCCATAAAGGCTGAACAAGCAGCCCAGCAGATGGAAAATGTTCCCACAAGTAGGCAAAAGAGTCAGAGACATTTAACACTGTTAGGAATCGCACAAGAACACCAAGCTGCTCAGCCACAACACACAATGCAGGGGACCTAGGTCAGACCCCTACAGACTTCCTGATCTCTGGGAGCTCCCACGAGTCTCAGTTGATTCTATGGGCCGTGTTCTAATGGTGTCCCTTATCCCTCTGATTTTTCCAGTCCTTTCTCACACTCCTCCTCAGCACTCCTAGAACTGAAGTCTGTCTTCAATAAAGGATGTCTCTTTTCCAGCAGTCGGCCCTCTGCAATGTGGACGGTTTATCTGGCTTGAGTTTTCTCTCTTTCTCTTCAAGCCAAGTCCTCTCTTACACAGAGGTGAGCACCCAGAGTGGAAGACATTTTTGTAGCAAGAGTCTGGCTTTCATATTGAGAAAACTGATTGTTTCCTAATTTTTGCAGTCTTGATAATTACATAAAAAAAGAAAGAGACAAAAAATGGCCCTCAAAAGAAACCACAGCACATAGCGCTTTTTTAAAACAAACCATCCATTCCTGCAGCATTATAGCCTATCGACACCATCTTCAAACTATTATTTCTGACCTCTGATTCTGCTGTCTTTCCTCCTTTTTTTTTTTCTTTTGTAAGTCCTCATTTGCAGTGTGTCTTGCTTCTTAACTCCGAACCTCCTCTGACTGTGGAGATGAGATTAGCGGACTGTGCACTGACTTATGAAGGTTAACAAAAATATTTATCTTCCTCATGGGAGATCTTCGAGGAACTCGACTCAACCCCATGGCGGAATAAAAATGTTCGTGTCTTAGGCCAGGTTTAAAGAAAGATCAGGATTAATTGTGTACTTTTGTGTGTCTATTCCAGGGATAATAATGATAGCATTTGTCATGACTATGTATTTATACCTAGTTATTTTTGCCATGAGAAAGGAAATTTGTATGCATAAAGCTGTATAAAGTCGACGTCAAAGGAGACCGTATCACAAAATATCGTGCTGTATTCTTTATTGCTCCATAGCCCATGAGGAATTTGATGTTTGCAAAAGGACCCAGCCATAGTTTCATCCCAAATCAATAGTGTCAAAAATCCCCTCTTGTCGCGAGCATTCTGCAGAACAGTAGGTCAGATCACTCCCGGAGTGCTAACTACCTTATTTTTATATAGTCTCTCTCATTCTATGCCTATTTAACTTCATTTATTGCTCTGGTCTCATGTCCTTCAGCTGTTTCCAGTCTACTTCACGGGCCAAGCAAACACAATATGTTAACATACAAAGGTATTTAGGTAAATGAAAATCAATGCGCTGGTGTCAGCGTAATTCTTTCTTGCTTACCTCGGACATTTAAACTATTCTAGCATTAGCAAGCCTCACTCTGTCTGTAATGATGCTCTTGGCTCACTGCCCCTGCAGTCTCTAATCTTCACAGCCACGGCCACTTAGTCCCCATCTGGAGGTTCAGGCTTACTCTGAATTTGGAACTGATCTTGTCTCCAGGCTGGGTGGTACAAGATATCTTAGCCAAAAGCTAACTGATCCAGCAGCCAGCCAGCCTTGGGCGTTGATTTCATTTTGACCTTGAAATTGATTACTCCAGTTTAGGCTACGTTTCTTCCACCTCTTGGTCATCTAAGGCAGGCCCACTAAGTGGGCTTGGTTAAGTCCCTAATTCATTATCCTGTGTGATACCCAGTTCCTGGAGGTTCTGTCTTGTCCCCCTCTCTTTTTCATAACAAAGCTACTTCTGAACCCATTTGTCATGCTGGGGTCTCATGGACAACTGCTGATTCATTCTGAGGCTAAGAGCCCAGCACAAAAATCCTTGAACTCCATTTACACCGCGAATCTCAAGTTTTGCAATATTACTAGAATTCGCAGCCTGCTGGCTTGGATGTTTTCCCACTGCCCACTGTAAGTATTTTCTGAGTCATCAGCTCCAACCCACAGTCCTGAGGAGTCACTGCATGTACATCGCCTCCAAGCTGGCAATTTCGTTCTTCTAGGCAGGGTTGCAAAGACATATTCTCATTACATCTTCGAGGGGATTGTCATGCCAACACCTTACACCTACTTTCACCTCATATTTCAAACTTTTAAAAATTCATTTCTTCTTAGTAAAATAAAATTATCTGTATGGCCATTTTGGACAAGCATGGACAAATGATAGAACACACAGTAGGCAACACAACATTTTTAGGTAATGGTATAATGTCATGTCTTAAATTCTGTACGTGGATAGTGTTAACTGTTAGTTAAGACTGATCATTATACACCTGAGAAATGGAAGAAAGGAAGTTATTTTAAATTCTTCGGCAACAGCAGCACATGCCCCCCTCTATGCACATATTTTTTTTTAAAAGGAAAACAACTGTCTGCATGAAAACTGACCGGAAGCTAGGAATTCTTTCAGTCAGTCATTTCTCTCAAAGCAGCATTTCCATAACCACTTAAGGAGTTTTAGCAAAATAAAAAAATATCTAAGTCCCAATTTATTGAAATTTTGGTTCAGTAAGTTTGGATCAAACTCACAAGTTGAGATGCTTAAAGAATCTCAGAAGAAATTCTGCGATGTCCCACACTAGGGCCCATAAATTTATCAGCATCGGATGTCCAGTATGCTCTTAAGAAAACACACATGCTTTCTCCTCCAGATGCTTCAGCTAGTCTGTGCAGCACAGATGCACTCCTAGCTCTCCGGTCACTGATGGTGTTTGATACCTGGAAAGCCTACTGATGTCTGCTTTTATGAATAGATGGTTATTCTGTCTCGCTGGGTACTGATAGCGCTCACAGCTAAATGTCCCTGTGTACTCAGGTGGTATCTTTGGCTTATTCAGCATTAAGATGTATTATAAGTCCCTAATGGTTTGCTCCTGCCAATGTATCCATTTTGTTCTTATTTAAAAAGTATTCATTTGTCTTTAGAACAATTCTTTCTACCCATAGAAATTTCATCAAAATGAGTGTTAATAGCTTTCGGTAAACAGTTTTCATACTGAAGCAAATAAATGGTTTTCTGTTTTTATCAAAGATATGAAGTATATGTAAAAGAGAAAGAAAGGGAGATGAAGCAAGGGAAGGAGAAAGACAAAGCGAGTGAGGAACGGAAACAGAGACCAGAGAAGGGAGACCTAGTAGAGAAAAGAAGAAAGGGGGGAGGGAGAAGGAGATGGAGAGACGGAGGGAAGAATGAAGGGAGGAGAAGAGGGAGGAAGAAAGGGTGAGGAGAGGAGGGAAGGGAAGAGGCAGAATACCAGATTCTCTGTGACCTTTGTTTTACGCATTTTGCCAAATGACCAGACCAGGACTAATACGCGCAGACCATTCAGGAGGCTAAGTATTCGACACCCATTCAAAGTAATGCGCATTGTCATTGTTCGGCATAGGAAAGGAAACCCTAATGCTGGAAGGCAGCCTAGTGTGTGTGTGTGTGTGTCCGCACGCGCGCGTACACGGGGGTGTGTATTTGGTTTAAGTGTCTTGTCAGCTTGGCTGTGGGAATTTGCTTGTGTCCTCTCCTAAATCTCAGCTGTTACTTAGACCCACAAATCAGAAATCATGTTAGCAATTGCTGTGGCTAGAACTCTCTGTCAATACGTATGTTCAAACTCTTGACACCAAACTGCATGAGAAGAGATGGTTTGGGAACGGTGATTGTGTCGTGTATACTGAATCCTCTTTAAATAATTGATTAATTGCTTCTATAAAAGAAGACTAGGGAGGTCCCTTGTTCCTTATGTTTTAGGCTACAGAGAGGCCATGCTGTCTATAGGAAGTAGACACTAAGTCTTCTCCAGGATGGATGTTGAACTTCCTAAGCTCAAGAAGGGGTAAAATATGTTTCGGTTGTTTTCAGATACCCATTGTCTGGTGTGTTTGTTATTGCAATCTAAAGAAACTTAGAAGTCATTTGTTGTTCCTAGATGACACTTATTTTATAGAGATGTTCTAGTAAATATGATTCCCCTTTATGTCTGGTGAGAATGACGTAGGTCATCAGTGATGGTTCTGTTTCCCGTGAAGACATCTGTTCGTCTGACCCACCTCACAAGTGAGCTGCAGAAACTCACAGCTTTTTCTGCTTACTGCATTTGGAAGTCAAAAGAAAATAAAAATACTGATGATGTGTTTCTTGAAAGAATAGCTAATAAACACAATAACAACTAATCTCAGATATCATCTTAAGAAACGGAAACAGTGTCTTACCAGACGTCCTCAGCGTCTTCGTCACACTCCGCACCGAACTGGCAAATGTCACAGGTAGATGTCTCCTTCTGACTGCTTTCTCCAGAGCCTTCGTGGACTGTGGGACAGAAAGCACACATGAAGGGCATGCAGACAGGTGTGCGCAGGGTTGAAAATACTAGGAGAATTCTCGGACAGCCCTGGGGTCCCTTGCTACCGGACATGGCATCTCTCTCTCGTTGCTTCCCCAGCTTTAAAGCTGACTGAGCAATACTGTGGCACTCACCGGTATAGAGTGGATGCTTCTGACTGTTTCCATGTGGCAAAGCACAAACAAGAGGGCATATAGGGTTTTGAAAATTGTGTAGCTAGTCATTAGATTATATAAAAGCTGCTTCTTTACAAATGATTTAGAGTGGAGGAAAAATCCAGTGACTATGAAAAGTGTTTTGAGTCTCCTTATTCCTAAAGTTTAGATTCTTTTTTATTCAAAATATTAGTCTTAGAAATATTGAATGAGTAGTCTTATTAGATATTTCCATTTCAGCCTTTGCCTGTTACATAAAAGAAAACATGTTGGTGGATTATAAATATTTAGAAAATAATTTTAAATCTTCAAGTCTTATTATATTTGTGTATATGTGTGTGTATGTGTGCTTGTGTGTTGCAGTGACAATAGGAGGCAGAAGAGGGTATCAGATGACCTGGAACTACAGTTCTAGTTGAGTCACCTGATGAGGGAGCCGGAAATTGAATTCTATCTTCCGGAAGAACAAAAAGGATTCTTAACTAATGATCCATGTCTTTTACCACAAACTTGATTTTTTTTGCTGGTTGTCTTTAGTTATGAGCATAAATTGTGTTTAAAATATTAATGTAGCTACTGGTAATTATTGATATTGGTCTTTTGCCTTATGTATACGTATGGAATTGGCAAGATTTAGGCAAATCACAAATTAGCCTCTCAAAATAAGTACAAAACGATGCAAGAGAGAAAGAAAACATTCCAGTGATTTGATTGCAAAGACTGCGCAACACCTCTGAGCTAACAGACTACTATGTGCTCAGCTAAAACAGGTAAGTTGAAAGAGAAAGGAACTTATTGAAAAATGAAAAAAAAATAATAGCCTAACTAGAGCAGAGACAATCAGCTTCCAGGGACAGAACGTACTCTCTTCAGCAGTGTTCAGACACCAAAACATCTTAAAAGAACCCATCATATAGAGATGCCATGATTTCAGTGGAAAGGGGCTGTAACTCCTCCATGGGCCGCACGAGCATTCTATAAAACATAACTGGGCAGTGCACTCTTGGCCTGTTGTTACATCCAAACCTGTTTGAGTAGCGTTTCCTATTTCCTCGTCAGTGCTTCTTGGTCTATTCATGAATTTTTTGCATTTATGAAAGTAATTATCTCTCTTGATTTCGACCGAGAAGGAAAAAATGATTTGGTGGACAAAGACGCAAACACAAAGGACCCAGAGGGCCTGCAGGAGAGTTCTGATCCCTAGCTCCGACAGCGAGAGCAAGAAAGGACTTCTTCTCAGATCTTCAAGTTTTTCTTGCGCATGATTATATATCCTGATGCTTTCTCTCCATGTTCCTTATGCCTAGTAGTTTTAACTTGTGTTTATGTTATGAATCAAATGGGTCCATTTTTACAGGGCAAAAGTCTTGATAATATTGCTCTCAACCTAGACGTTTTAGTGAAGATTAAAAAAAATCCCTCGGAGCTTCTGAGGAAGAAGGAATTTAGCTCTGACAAAAGAGGCAATACTTACATCAATCTACCCTACCGCCTTAGTAGAGCAAGACCATTAGAGTGGACCATGGGGATGGGAGGGAAGCTGGGCCCTTACCTCTGGGGAGACTGATGGTTGAAGCTGCTCTCTTTATTGCTTTCTTATTATTAATGCAACACAGTAACTGCTGATGGGAGTGAACCTTTTAGGGTTAGCAAGATGAGCAGCTTTCTGGCTACAGTTTCCCATCCCTCAGGAACATAACCCAGCGAGGGGAAGGTGCCTAATGGTGGGTGATAGCCCCCAAGGGCAGGCCCATCTTCTCCAGCAGCTGAGATCCTGGCTGAGGAATCTAACCAAGATTGGGAGGTGGGGGGTTGCTAACTCAGCAAGACTGACCATAGCATTCTTTTTTTTTTTTTTTTTTTTTTTTTTTTTTTTTTTTTTTTTTTTTGGTTTTTCGAGACAGGGTTTCTCTGTGGTTTTGGAGCCTGTCCTGGAACTAGCTCTTGTAGACCAGGCTGGTCTCGAACTCACAGAGATCCTCCTGCCTCTGCCTCCCGAGTGCTGAGATTAAAGGTGTGCGCCACCACCGCCCGGCCTGACCATAGCATTCTTACCCATACTAAGCCATGCCGTACCCCAGGAGAGGCAGTGCTTGGAACTTTTCTCACGAGGAGAAGTATGTCGGAGTAAGATAAAGCACTGCCTACATGGGGAATATAATGCTTTGCATGAAGTCATCCACAAGAAAGGGAAAAGAAAATATTTCCTTTGTACCCAAAATATCTGTTTCCCCGTTATAACAGATGAGCAATTAAATCAGCTCACTTCTGTTTAACCCCATAGGCCAAGGGCTCTTCAGTAGGGTTGGCCTCACAAATTGTGATAGATTCTTTTTGTTCATTTATTTATTTGCTTATCTTGGAGATGCTGAATTAATGGCATGGTTTGAGGCGGAAGTATGCGCGTTATAGTCGCAAACAACAAAAATAAAGCCCTAAAAATCAGACCATTGAGTAAGAGTCCGTCTAAGGGATGCCCAGAAGCCATCGGCAGTCCCACATTCTGGCACAAGGTTTCTAGCACTGGAAACATACAAGGGGCATCAGGAGGTGCTGTAAAATTCAGATTCCTACGCGACAGGGATGAAGAGTGGCTTTAGGTTCTGCAGTTCTTACCAAGCCCCTGATGCTGGGGACACTGTTTCACTTTTGGGGAGAAAGAACAGCTCCATGCATCATTTCCAACCAGAACGCACAAGCTATTAGTGGTCAGTGGAACTAAATGGGCCAGAACCACGCTGGTTGTAGCTATGTAGCCATCTCCACTAGACTAGAAAGCATCAGCGTGTCTTACTTAGCAAGAATAAGCTTGATTATTATACAACAGCGATCTAGTCATACACATGTACTTGCATAGAGGCTGAAATATGAACTGTAATTCTAATAAAGGTCACAGTCACACAGGCTTGTAGATCCCTGACTTAGCTCCCGCTACAAGCTCAGTAAATGTGCAGTTCATGGAGCTGGTTCCCCTTTGCCTTCTTTCCTCATCACCAGAAGAAGGACGGAAAGGATACGGTGCTTAAATATGTGTATTCGTAGAATGAGTCTATGGGCACAAACCTACTTACCCCAGAGTCTTATCTTAATCATGCATTTACACTTTAACTTCTTCATTTTAAGCTGCCATAAAGAATAATCATTTTATTTTATTTCGTAGAAATAGGTTTTAACGAGAGGTTGGAAGGAATCTGGGGGGCTGGAGAGGTGTGGCTTCTGAAAACACCAACTATTTGATATCCTTTTCTAGACTGGAAACCTACATACTCCATTTAAAAAAAATTTGAAATGAAGAACTATTACGAAGTGATGGGACCTACCCCTTGTAATCTCCCTGTCCTGGTGACTTCTTCTGAAGGGTAGCAATGCTCCTTCATCCCTACTTGGTTCTAGGTCAAAACAGATGCTTACACTGGTGCTATCCATTGACGTGATGATGCTGGAACCTACTTCTCTGCCTACCTCACTGTCACACCTGCACTTATAATGTCTCTAACATGGGGGATGGAATGCTCAAGCAGTTTTTAAATGGTCATTTTGTCGAGAACCTAGCAGAAACAGACATTTAGCGACATACTCAGATCTTAAGGCAATGATTCGACATTGAAGAATGCATAGAATAGATTCCAAGGGTGGAATAGGAGCAGGTGGGGATGGGAATGGAAAAGATCAGGTAGAGGAATGACAGACGGAGAGAGAGATTACTGGAGGGACAACTAGAACTTAGGGGACAACTTGGGGGGCAATGTGGAAACCTAGTAAAGTGGAAACTCCCTGGAATCCATGAGGGGGATTCTAGTGAAGACTTTCAGTAATGGGGGAAGTGGAGCCCGAATTGGCCATCTTCTGTAACCAGGTAAGTCTTCCAGTGGTAGGACTGGGACATCAATTCAGTCACAAAACAGACCTTCAATTTGTGAACTGCAAGATGTGTTCCGGTAAAGGTATCTCAGAACTTGTGGGAGTGGCCAAGCAACATCTGGTTCAACTTGAGGGCCATGCTAATTGACAAAGAGCCTTACCCTGACTGCCTGGAGGCCAATAACCAGAGGCTGGATAGCCTAAAGGCCTAGGATAAAACCAACTGGTGAAAAAAGTCAATGGAATGATTCCTAATGGTATTCTGCTATACCCTAGCCTGGAGTTGAACTCCACTGTCATCAGAGAGGCTTCATCCAGCAACTGATGGGAGCTGATGCAGAGACCCACAGCCAAACAACAGGTGGTGCTCGGGGAACCGTGAGGTAGATGAGGAGGATGGATTGTAGCAACCAGAAGGGTTGAGAACACTATGAGAACGCAGCCAACAGAACCAACTAAGCAGGGCTCATTGGGGCTCACAGAGACTGAAGTGGCATTCGTGGGGCCTGCGTGGTTCTGAGCTATGTTCTCCGCATGTATGTTATGGTTGTGTAGCTTTACGTTCCTGTGGTACTCCTAACAGTGAGAGTTGGGGTTGTCTCTGACTCTTTTGCCCGACCTTGGGATCCTTTTTCTTCTAATGGGTTGCTTTGTCCAGCCTTGATATGAGGGTTTGTGCTTAGTCTTACTATATCTTTTTGTGCCTGCCGTTTTCAGTTGATGTCCCTCTGAGGGGGCTCTTTTCTGAAAAGAAGCTGGGGAGGAGTGGTTTAGGGGAGAAGGGAGGCAGGAGGAGTGGAGGGAGGAAAAACTATGGTCAGGATAAAATATATAAATGTAGAATTTTAAAAAGCCTGCATATGGAGACATAGAAAGGCATCTACCATCTCAGTAAGTTCTTTCTCTTAGGCTCCTTCCCTTGTGCCCACATTTCCTGCCACCACCCTGTC